CTCAGTGTGGATGGAACGTCTGAGGAAGAACGACGCGAGCTTAGACGAACGTCGTGGAAGTCGGTGGACGGTGACTCGAGTTTATTTTCTTCCTGTGCACTTGACTGATGAGAAATTGATGAAGCATCATTTCCTGAGTATACCGACAGTGATACAGCCGTAATGCGTTGGACCAAATTTAAAGGCTGTAGCTGCTTAGAGAAACCTTGTATCTTCGTTTAAACAAAACAGAATAAACCAACAAACCTCTTGTCTTGGTCTTGTTAGAGTCTAGAGTAACAAAGTTCGCAATGAACCCCAGCTTAATGTTCCCATACCGTGTCACACATCCCAATATATATTAACTCAACAATTTTGAAGAAGTGGGCCTAACGCTCGATGTTTTTACACGAAACGATTTACTAAGAGCCGACCTAAAGTAAGACCACAAAACAACACGCGCATATCTCACTTAGATAATTTTGGCGTTTCGATATCTTTAAAGAATATTTCCAAAAGTATTTTTCGTGGACTTAAATATTAATATGTATATTTAACTGGGAAATTGTGTGATTTAATAATCGTATTTGATTAAAAAAAAGTGTTTCATGGGACGATGACAAAAACTATTTACTTTTTCGACACGAGATGAATCGGTTTCAACTAACTGTTCCCCACGTGCATATCGACACCGTTCGCACCTCTTGGCCGGTGTCCATTGTATGGCTGCTGTTGTCCTGTGTGGTCACTATGTTTTGTGCGATAAGTTCCGTCCAGCCTGAGTGGTATGTCCGAACCGATCCCGTAAATGATAAATTTCTCCATTACGAACGAGATTCCATCCTTTATATGCTAGGCCTCGTTGGTGTCTGTTACCGTTGGCGCGAAACTTCTTGCCACAGTTTTGGCGGGAACTTCCCGTCCGCTCCTTGGCATATGGCATTCGTATTGTACATAAGTGGGTGCGTGTTGTCGGGGTGTTGCGTTGTGGTGATGGTGTTTAGTTTATTTGCACTTGGAAGACGACGACGACACAACATCATGGTCTACATTGGGTACATACAACTGACAGCAGGTAAGCAAATCCTATGTGAAAAATTTGTCTTAGCTTCCCTGTGAAATTATGTATTTTTGCTAACTTAGTGTTACAAGTCATATCAAAGTTTGGGACTAGTTTTCACTCGAAACAGTAAACTGGAAGGCTAGACTGCGGTTATGTAAAATGACATTTTCAAATTCGTTCACCAAAGTACATCTGATCTATTAAAATATAACATTAAGATTGCAATGTATGTATATATTTTTTTTACTTTTCTGAATACGTTTAACTCCAGTGTATTTATTCTGGTGTTACAACTGATTTTACCCAATTTTGCTTTGGATATTCGTTGTCAAATTAATTTTGAAAGTTTGATTACAAAAACGATCTCTAACAAGCAAGCCCAATTTCACAGTTCTGCTCGAACTAAACTTGGAATGGAATTTAATCTCAGACTGTTAGACTTAAAGTTTACCTATCTCGAGCTAAAGTAATTCTGATTACAGCTGGCTGATAACATTGTAACAATCCTACTTTTTGACTGTAGTACATAAAAAATAAATGAAGAAGACCTCTAAATAACCACGATTTCTAAGGACGAGTTTCTAACTTATTCAATTAATTGGCTTCGAAAAGCTTTAAATTCAGTTTTAATACATTATAACTATATATAATATGAATTTCGCGCAAAGCTACACGAGGGCTATCTGCGCTAGCCGTCCCTAATTTAGCAGTGTAAGACTGGAGGGAAGGCAGCTAGTCATCATCACCCACCGCCAGCGCTTGGGCTACTCTTTTACCAACGAATAGTGGGATTGGCCGTCACATTATAACGGCCAACGGCTGAAAGGGCGAGCATGTTTGGTGGGACGGGATTCGAACCCGCGACCATCAGAATCGAGCGCCCTGCCGGACATAACTATAAAGAACCCATATGCTCATAACTAATCAACATATTTTTAATAATCAATATTTCAAAGAGATTTTATTGCCATATTTATTAAGGGTTGTGGGAAATAAGCGATACATTCATCATGTGTTTTCTGCGGACTTACAACGTTAGAAATCGGGTTTCGATACTCGTGGTGGGCAGAGCACAGATAGCCCATTGTGCAGCTTTCTGCTTAATTACAAACAAACGAACAAACAAAACATGTATTTTGAAGTAAAAAATTTTCCAGAGACGTGTTCTCTGTTTAATTGAGTGGTTTGTTTATTGTTAAGCACAAAGCTACAAAATGGGAAATTTGAGCTGTGCCCACCACGGGTATCGAAACCCATTTTTTAAGTTTTTGGCGTTATAAGACTACAGACTTATATCTGAGCCACTGCGGGGGGTTGACTGGTACGACAGAATTTTTTTAATAAATGTATTTCTTTATTTACTTTTTGGCGCAAAGTTGCACAGAAAATAGTATGCGTCAAAATTTAGTCTTATAATGTAACCGCTCAGCCACCAGGGGACATAATTTTTTAAAAGTCCAACAAGTAGATGAGCTCCTTTTGTTGAGTTCTGCTGTGATTGTCAATGTTAACGAAAGATGTCTCTCTTTGAAAAATCTAAGTGTGATGTACATAATTAAGAAAACGTGAATAATAAACAATAGAGTGGCTGAGCGTGGCCCAGTCATTTGTGTGTGCCGGACTATGGATCTACATGTCCAATGTTCGCGTCTCGTTACCGCCAAAAACCAGAAAAAGAAATTGCGCTCCGTACGATGGTGTGTGTGGATCCATTTTAAGGGTGGCAATCAAATCCAAATATTCGATCAACAAGAGTAATCCAACAGTTGACGGCGGGTACTGATGACTAGCTACCTTCTGTCTGGTCAGTTAGTTCAAAATTAGGGACGTCCCCGGAGTGGCTTTTAGGAACTATCCAAAACCAAACAAACAAAACAATGAAAAGTGGATAACCCTGGTACATGCTATTGCTACTTTTATCACTTTTGTAAACGTCGCTTAACAATCTGACAATTTTATAAAACTTTTCCTCCATCAACATCTGGTACAAAATATCTTAAATAGTTATTTATTTAATGTCCCCCGCTGGGACAGCGGTAAGTCTTCGGATTTACAACGCTAAAATCAGGGGTTCGATTACCCCTCGGTGGACACAGCAGATAGCCTGATGCTGCTTTGCTATAAGAAAATACACAAATACACATTTATTTAATCATTTTGGAACTAGCGACCAACAAGAACACGCATCTAAGTGTTGCGGACACCCCCTAACAAAAATAATGAAGCACTGATTAGAAGTAGCAGTGATGCCCATTCTCTAAACCACTGTACTAAAATAACGCATATTTACCAGTGGAAAAAAAAAACACTTTAGAAAATCCCAAATACGAATTTGTCAAAAAAATATACCATAATTGTTCTTAATTATGTACCCTTTTCTTTCTTATCTTCCAAAATAGCTCTCATATTTCAACGTTAGTTTGTGCTTAGAATAGTAAAAGTAATAATACAAGAAGATACACAAAAATGCTTCAAAGTCAATGCTTATTAATACTATTAAATATGACAAAGGTTTGTGATAATATGTTCTCCAACACTCGCCACGCCCTATGGTGTATACAATTGAAAAAAAACTGCATGTCGCTGCCGGCGAGGTTATGAGATAAGGGATCTCGAGTCAGTAAAAACAAATGGCGTGCTTTAAATTGTTATCAGTCTTATTGTTGTGTAACATGAATTACGTATTACTGTCTAATGTCATGTCTCTCTAACTAAGACACGTTCTACACTCTTAAGATTTGAAAACTACTTGGTATTTTCAACCTAAATGCATCTTATGTGACCCAGGGACTAAACGGCCAGGTCAGAGACCATAAGGCGTAACCGTCTCTAGTTTTAAACTTCAGAACAGAGGAGCAAGCAGTCAATCAGAGATCCCAAGTTTCAGGTATAGCCGTTTCTAGTTTTAAACTTTAGAGCAGAGAAGCAAGGACTGCTTGCTCCGCTGCTCTCAAGTTTAAAACTAGAAACGGCTATACCTGAATCTTGTGGTCTTTAATAGCTGGAAACTTGGGGTCTCTGATTCGCTGCTCTCAAGTTTAAAACTAGAAACGGCTATACCTGGAGCAAGCAGTC